ATTAATGATTTGAATGTTTGAAGATGAGGAGCCACATGGCTTGAATCATAGGTTTCAAGATTTGTTGAGAATTTGATTTGTCGAGAACTTGACTTGTTGACACTTTAATTTCGGAGTTTGGATTTGCAATTCGAAACTTGGGCTTGATCTTGATCTTGATTTAATTCAAAGAAGATTTTGATCTTCTTGTGTTAGTTTGATTTGAAGAACTTTTTGATCTTTTTCGTGTTCGTCGGACTTGGGGTTAAGATGATTTCTTTTCTTCCCTCGGTTATGGGATTTTTTTCAGCATTTCGTGATTTTCTTCTTCACTTTTTGTTTCCCCCTCTTTATGGACAATTGGTACTATTTATAGGGAAAAATTGTGACCAATTTTGATAACCACTTAATTAATTCAATTATATGATTATAATTAAATAATTGTGGATTTTGGAATAGCGGGACGGGCCTTTAAAATTTTATGGGCCTTAGTAGGCTTTAGTTTAGTAAATTTAATTTGGCCAGGTATTTAATTTGTCTACATTGACGTCAATATCTAGTTTTCTGGTATTCTTAGAAATCACTAGAAACTAGAAGATTGATGGTGTCGTGGTATACAGTTGAAATCAACGAATCTTCAATTGTTTGTTCATTCGTTGTTTTTGTGTTTATGCCTACATCAAAATTTAAGAACACGGTCAAGCTAAGAATATGGAGACATAAAGAACACGGTCAAGCCAAGAATATGGAGACATATTTAACGTGAAGGGATTGATAAAAATATTCAAATTGTCTCAAAATCTTGATAAAGTTAATTCTTTTACTGTTAAGAAAAAGATTTGTTTTGAGAATTCATTTTGTAGTACTGAATTCCAAGCCCCCCTTCGGGTCGTACTCCACAATGGAAGCAAGGCACCTGATTCACTTAGCATTATTAGCTATATAAGGACTAGAGGGAACCCCGAATGAACACCAAGACAGACATTTATTCTTCAAACATATTGTTTCTTGTTATCAGTCTTTTTGTTTGCAGAAATGGAGAGCCGAGAATTAGTTCCCGCAATTAGGACCAACCCACTGATGAGTGATAAGCTGTCGGATTCTAAAGCTAGGCCCCTTACGGGTGCAGCTAAGCCTCTGTCAGCAGGCAGAGGTCGTTTGATGAAGGTTGATGGGCAAGATCGCTACTCTGCGACTGATGATATTGGATTGAACAAGCAAATTCTGGGCAC